TAGTGGGAGGCTACCCCCCCAGGCTGGTGGTGCGGCCGTTCCACTAGTCTAATTATTTATTTTATTTTATTTTATTTGTTTCTGATTATATTTTGTTTTCTTGTATTTTATCGCTCTGCTGACCCTTGGGGTCCATTTTATTTTGGTATACCTTTTCTAGGTACGTTAGCCTGTGACCACGGAAATTGGCCGAGTCAAGTGATGGATTAGTACGGAGAGATTGAGACAGAAGGAGGTACTGGATAGAGAGACCGGGATGGTTTTTAATGTGAAGACAACAACAACAACAACAACAAGAAGTCCAGATCACACCTACAATGATCGAGATAATCCGCCGAGGGGGTGAGGGTCTACTACTGCTGCTGCTGCTGTGTGTTTTATCAGGATGGTTCCCCGCGGGATCGGTCCAGATTGCGTACCAGCGCGGCGCTACTGACTGTCTTCGCAAAAAAAGCCGTGCCCTGCATGCTGTTGTTGCTGCCGCAGCCCTGCATGGCCTCTCGGCCTCTCGCATCAAAGTCATGACGTCATATGATCATCAACGGTTTTTTGTTGTTTTTGGTTCATGCTGGACTGCTTGCTTTCACTCGGGCGTAAAGTAATGTCGAAATCATGGAACCACGGAGGGGTTACGTGGATAAGAACAGATGATCTGCACCAAAGGCTTGGAGAGAGCGCCCACTCGTGACAAGCCTCCCCAACCCTAACGAGGAAGCGTGCAGCACGAATAACCGTAGACTACCATGCAGCTGAGCGCGACTCAGCTGGCCGCGGCCGCGTCGGCCCCTGCGGGGAAGGCCGTTAAAGAGTTGGTGTGTTTCGACACGAGCTCGGCCATTGGGGCCCTCCCGACTCTGGCACTCGCGCGAGTCTTCACCAGCGAGGGCGCGTCTCTGAAGGGAAGGACAAGATCGCTCTGTTCACCATGATGCTGCCATTGGTGCTGGCGCTGGGGCAGGGTGCACAGGAGACGATGGAGAATTTCCTGCGCGGCGGGGAGAGCCAGGAGCACGGATGGACAGGCGCGATAGCGGCCAGGAAGCTTTCGGAGCGCGGGCATTCATGGGAGAGGTGCTCGAGGTGCTGCGGGATTTCGTCAAAAGTGGCGGGCAAGTACGTAGTCCTGCCGGCTCTGCCACCGTCGGGCAAAGCCCCCGCTCGCGAGTCCGGGGCGGCTCCGCCGGCCCCANGCGTCTCTGAAGGGAAGGACAAGATCGCTCTGTTCACCATGATGCTGCCATTGGTGCTGGCGCTGGGGCAGGGTGCACAGGAGACGATGGAGAATTTCCTGCGCGGCGGGGAGAGCCAGGAGCACGGATGGACAGGCGCGATAGCGGCCAGGAAGCTTTCGGAGCGCGGGCATTCATGGGAGAGGTGCTCGAGGTGCTGCGGGATTTCGTCAAAAGTGGCGGGCAAGTACGTAGTCCTGCCGGCTCTGCCACCGTCGGGCAAAGCCCCCGCTCGCGAGTCCGGGGCGGCTCCGCCGGCCCCAACTCCGGAGGCGGCGGCGGCTCTTGCGGCGGCGGCTGCTATCCCAGTGGCGGCGGCCATTCCGGCGGCGGCGGCCTCAGCGGCAGCGGCAGCAGCTTCGGCATCCGCGGCACCCGCCCCCGCGGCGGCGCCCGCAACGGCGGGAGCTCCAAGCTCGGCGATCGCAACAGCCCAGCAGCAGCAGGCAGCCAACCACCAGGTCATGATGTCGGCGGACGAAGCGTACATGAAGGTGGTGCAGGCGGAATCAGGCCACGCGGAGGTGAGGGTTACAGTCCCCGTTGCTGACTGTCTCGCGGTGTGTTCTCGTCAACATAAAAAAGATTCGCCAAACTTTCGTCGCCCGTTCTAGTTCCAAGACGATCCTGATCCCGTCGAGGATCATCGACTTGTTTGAGTAGTATGTACTTCCGCGCATTGTTTGAGTAGTACTCCAACAAATCCGATCCTTCGCGTCAAAACTCCTTCGACGTTTTTCGACGACCGTCATGCCTTCCTCACCCCGGTCCCCGCCGAAATAGCAACGGGAGTGTTTCATGTGCATTCATATTATTGTCGTGCTCTTTGGATATCCCACGCGGACCGGTGATACGACGTAGGAAAGACGGTCGTAATTTCAAAGGAATAAATATCGGTAGTCTGGCAGTTGGGACTGCTGTACAGGACGCACGATACAAGTGGTCACGGGCCGCGTATACGTGGCATGGGGTTTCTCTACAATTGTTGACCGTCTACGCGTATCGCCTCGAGATGGGGCGTACCACCCATCAAGTGCTTAACGTGTGCGCGCATCACCCCAGACATGCTTTCAATGGATCGTGGCACCTCACGAAAATCACATGTCGGCGTACCTTTTCCTCTATCTACCTTTGAAATAATTTCTTCGATATTGCGCCTTTCACATGCTGCATACCGAGCACTATTGGCCTCAACGCTGCGATATAGGTCCACGAACAGTCAGAACGATTATAGGTTATTGCTGCCACACGAAACGACTGATCACCGAGAGCTTTGTAGATGTTCTTAACCTTTCGCGCGTACGCGGATAGGGAGATGCGTGCTCTCGAGCCACACGTTCCCCTTTGTTGGCGATATTGCGATACGACTACAGGGGTTGTTGTCGATACGATTCGCTCGCGAGAGTTTTGGGGAGCCATTTCGCTGGCAGTCCTCGAGTTCATGTGCCTCGGGATGAGTATTTCGAGCCGACTCGTCTCCATCTCCGATACGATGAGCTTGCGATTGCTTTTGACTCCGTTTCGTGGGACGTCCTCGATACGATGTGTTTTCGGGATGCGTGCTTTCGAGCCATCCGTCTGTTTCGATCTACGACGTCCTCGATACAACGTACGATGCGTTTTCGGGATGCGTGCTTTCGAGCCATCCGTCTGTTTCGGTTTACGACGTCCTCGATACAACGTACGATGCGTTTTCGGGATGCGTGCTTTCGAGCCATCCGTCTGTTTCAATCTACGACGTCCTCGATACAATGTACGATGCGTTTTCGGGATGCGTCTTTCGAGCCATCCGTCTGTTTCGATTTACGACGTCCTCGATACAACCCTGTCCCGTTCTCGATACGAAGGGCGGGCGATGGCTTGGGACGCCATTTCGTAGGCCGTCCTCGATACTATGTGCTTCGGGATGTGTGCTTTCGAGCCATTCGTTCGTTTTTTTTTTTTCAAATTGCGATGTAGCAGCGAAACGTTTGGCCCCGCGTCGTTAGCTGTCCTTGATGCGATCGCGGCTGACGACACGGCTGGGGCCGCCCCCGGTGCAATTTTGTTGCCACGCAGGTTCGTAGCTCGTTCCTGAAGGTCCTTCGGGTTACGCGGAATGCCGGTCGGGTGTCTCCGTGGCATGACTCGCGAGGCGCCCTCGTAGAGGTCCACACCATCAGGGCGAGACGTACCACAAGTGCCGGCCGCCAACCGTGATCCGAACCACTCTCACCTCACATGTGCCTTCTGGATATGCGGCAATTGCAAGGAGGCAGGGCATCGCAGGGCGGCCTGCCCGAACCCGACCGTGGCGTGAACGAGCCGTAGCGTACGCAACAGAAGGAGGTTGGGGGGGACACGGTAGCAATTTACGAACGGGGGGGGGGATACTCGAGCGTTGCGCTCGGTTGGATTTGTTTCGCGGGTTCGAGATAGCATTTCGTATTCCGATAAGACGATGCGTGTGGTACCCGTCGGGTGACCATATCCCGCTCGCGGTTCGCATCATTTTTCAATGCATGTCAGTATAACATTGGCGCAACATGAGCGCTGACCCGCGCAGTGCGTTCCTTCGATCACACAGGATCGAGAAATAACACGAGAATAGCAGGTGATATGCCCGCGGTGCGTTCTTCGATCGGCTGTCGGCGGGAAATTAATCCCTTCTACCGCAGTTCAATCCTCTATTCTCATCCATGACCTCATGATAATAAGACGAACACCATTTATTCCCCGCGGGGCGCCTGGATCGCCCGCGCGCGAGAATAACAAGAGAGTAGCATGCAACGACCTCTGCCTTAAGCAGTGTAATCCTCCATCTTTGTAGACCGTGAATCACGTTCGGGAGAAGAAATGTCCATGTATCACTGCAAAATAATCAGCCCGGAGCATCGTTGTGTCTGCTCTCCTTGCGTCCGTCGTGCATCTTGGTGGGTCCGTCTGGTCACAGTACATCGTAGCTACGTTTGCTTTTCCTACCACGGACCCCGGCTAACCCTCGTATCAACGAATCCCTTATCTTCCCGCTAGGCGGTACCCTTTATCATAGAGTGAAACTACAGACGTATACCGGCGAAACCTGTTCAACGTCTCACTACGTAGGTATTGGCTGATCATTGGCTGAAGAACCTCGCGCAACGACATGCGCAAGTAAGAATTGCGTTCTCCGACGTCCCCGACCTGTCCGGAGAACAAAGCGGATGGGCGGGGCCTCGTTTGACGCCGAGAGTAGCCCGCGTGCCTACGATGGCAGAAGTAGAGCGACCACCGAACGGGGACGGACACACCCGTCTGCCGTGGGACGCTCCGGTGAGAGATGCTGGCGAGAACGGGGAACATTCCGTACCGGGGGGGATTAACCACAACCGTGAATTTTGGGACAAGGTTATCCTACGAGACCATCCCCAGCGCGATCAACTCATGTCATATAGTATTCGGGACGGTGTCAGCGTCTTCGAATTCCTCCACGATGAGTACCGAGGGAGGTCGCGTGAGGAGCCGTATCGCCCAGCAGCGTTTCCGGGGGCCGTATTCCCCATCCACATACCAGACGAACATACGGAATTCGTGCGGCGAGAGGTGCAAGCGCTGGAAAAACGGGGATGTTTAGTTCGGTGGGAGGACGTCCGAGGACCGGGGGGGCCGGATAGACCGCGGTTGATCCNGGTCGCGTGAGGAGCCGTATCGCCCAGCAGCGTTTCCGGGGGCCGTATTCCCCATCCACATACCAGACGAACATACGGAATTCGTGCGGCGAGAGGTGCAAGCGCTGGAAAAACGGGGATGTTTAGTTCGGTGGGAGGACGTCCGAGGACCGGGGGGGCCGGATAGACCGCGGTTGATCCTGTCCATTTCGGTGGAGCCAACCAAACCCCGTATGATTATAGACGGTATCCCCCTCAATACCTGCTGCAAACACGTACCGATTACGATGGACACGGTCTCACGGGTGGCACACGTCGCAGAAGGAGGGGTGTTCATGGGGAGCTTAGACGACCGCGCGGGTTTCCGTAATCTCTGCTTGCAGCCCGAGAGCTGGCCGCTATTCGGCGTACACTACGATGGCGTGGATTACGTCTGCACTACCCTTCCATTTGGGTCGAACGAGAGTCCATTTTGTTACCATTCTTTGAGCGAAGCCAAAGCCGCGTACCTGCGGTCCAAGGTCATCCCCGTCCTGGCGTATATCGAGGACGCCTGGTACGCGAACTTTGTCGCTACCTTCAGGAAGTCGGATCGAGGACAGTGGCTGCCGGCGGCGGAAGCTGTACACACCGGCATCCTAGTATCGTGCCGATGCGGATATTTTCTGTCCATCAACAAATGCGACCTCAACCCCTCTCAACATCAGCGGTATCTCGGAGTTATCTGCGATTCCCATACCGCATCGTTCCGCATCCCGGAGGATAAGTTGCACAAACTCCATCAGCTCATCGACCAAGCGCTTGCGAACGACTCCGTGCCCGTGCGCACGCTCGAGAAGATAGCCGGCAAGTGTGTCAGCATGTCGGTCGCGATTCGGCCGGCCTCAGTATGGACTCATTACATGTTCGCGGCGATCAGGAAGGCTAAGGGTCGGGCCATTCAGTTGAGGGACAAACACGACCTCCGCGCAGAGATACGCATGTGGCTCACCCTGTCATCGACCGCTCAGGAGGGACCGTGGTATATAGCGAGACACTACGACGTCTCTCTCACCACCGCTTCGTCGGATGCATCATCCAACCAATATGGTGGAATAGTGTCGCTGCCCAGTGGCGCATTCTCCGCAGGCGGCTGCTTCCCCCACGAATGGCTGTCGCGTTCAATTAATGGCAAGGAGATGTTCACGTTGCTCGAGGTGCTGAAGGAGTGTTGTAGCGCTCGCCCGGGCGAACTTAAGCGAGCGCAAGTTTTGATGGATGTCGACAATAGAGCGGTCGTCGACGCGTTTAGGAAGGACAGATCGAGCAATAACCCCATCGCACACTCGATGCTGGTTAGCCTTTGCAAGCTGCAAATCGAACACGGATTTTGGCTCACATTGAGGTGAGAACCGTCAGCGGCGGATAGCGTCGCCGACGACATCACACGACCAGCCCGGCACGAAATTATCCGCCTTCGATCACGTGTGTTTGAGCAGCTGCGTGCGTTTTTCGGAGAATTTACGGTCGATCTTATGGCATCTTCCGAGAATGCTCATTGTACCGATGCGGGGGGAGCCGGGGGCTCATCCCGTCTGCCGTTTTTCTCACGGTATCACTGCGAAGGCACGGCCGGAGTCTTTAGCCAGGATGTAGCAATTACACCGGGCTGGGCACGCCGGCCTTTGGGTATTGTTTCTCGCCGCCTGTCATGGCGGGGCACATTATTCAACATCTGTCCGAGTGTCGAGCTCACGCAGTGGTACTAGTGCCAGATGTACGAGATTTTTGGTGGCCGCGGGCCGCACGGGCCGCCGTCAAATCGCTAGTATTACCGAGGACGGGGAGTATTGGATAACCCCACCATCAGGACGGCGTTTGCGATTACAATAATGTACGACACGGAATGCGCGCGGTGGAATTGTATTTTCGCGATAAATGATACGGTGATTATAGTCGCCCCTCTCCTTGTTCGTGTTCGCTTCGCCGTGCCTGTACTATCATCAGCATTGTACGGCGGGGGCCCTCGAGCGGGTTCCCTCCGGATCCACGCGAGTACAGGACCGGATACCGCAAGTATTGTGTAGTACGTATGGGGCCCAGAACGATGCCACATTCAACTTCCGCCAACACTGTGGTACTCCACCGTTTCGGGGGCTTTTAGAACCTCGGGCGCCCGGGGCGACCGTGGTCATCGATATAACCCGATTGGCCGAGCGGAAAGAGACTGTCTTAGCATCGTTGAGTAGTAAGGCCAGTCAGCAACGCAAATGCACGGTGGCGGACAAGTTTGATGCATTCCTCCGAGCGCACACGAACGGGATGCGGGGATGGGAAAGTGCTACAGATGTCAACGTGCAGGATTGGCTCTGCTGGCTAGATTCTCATGGTAACGTTACGAAGGTGGTTCATGCGGTAGACTGCCCCGAGATCGGGTTCAATTCAATGGCAGCGTGCAGCAAGGAGGGGACCTGCGCTACACGGTACGCTGCTCGAACACTAGTCTAGACAAGGCGTTTGTGTCGAAACTCAAGTGTGCGATGTCTGAGACTTTGGGGAAGTCGGACCCATGGGATGAGCGTGAGAAGAGAGGTAACGCAGCCGACAGCACGGCGGTTCGGAAGTACCTGCCCTGGGTTCAAGTAGAACAGCGCAGGGTGGGGGTTACCGTCAAGCAAGCCCGACCGTATGCCCGCCACTTGTGTGTCTTGTGCGATACATGCGCAACACCGCGAGCCACTTGTACACGGTGGGCGAACGGGTGGCCCGTAGCCGAGATATCACGTTGTTCGTCACCGCCTTTCACACGATGCAACGAGGATTCGATTTGGCGTGCGCGTTGGCGTCACAGGTCTTGCATAATCCGGATGGGACGGGGATTATTTTCAATTTTCATTTCGGCAAGACTCTACGAAGCTCGTCGCATGCGGTAGTAGTTCGACGAGATCGTCAGTGTACCGAGCTATGCCCGTTGCGGGCGATACAAGAGTTTTGCATCGCAGCCAAGTCAGCAGGATGGAACATGCTTCAGCACCGACGGCTCGCGGGGGTCGTCACAGTGGTCAGCGGCGCGTATGACCGNGCGCGTTGGCGTCACAGGTCTTGCATAATCCGGATGGGACGGGGATTATTTTCAATTTTCATTTCGGCAAGACTCTACGAAGCTCGTCGCATGCGGTAGTAGTTCGACGAGATCGTCAGTGTACCGAGCTATGCCCGTTGCGGGCGATACAAGAGTTTTGCATCGCAGCCAAGTCAGCAGGATGGAACATGCTTCAGCACCGACGGCTCGCGGGGGTCGTCACAGTGGTCAGCGGCGCGTATGACCGCCTCGCTACAAGTTCATATTCGGAACGGCCGCCTGGGCGATGCAGGTGGTCAGTATACCATGCACTCGTTTCGGGTAGGAGGAGCGGTAAGCCAAACGCTAGCGGGGACGGCGGTAGATGCCCTCATGGATTTTGTGGGATGGAAGATGCGAGGGGTTGCACAGCGATATGTAGGGCCGACGACCCAAGGGGGAGAGGCCGTCGTTAAGCGAAGGCGAGTCCAGAGCCAACAGGAGCAGGAGCGGTAGTACATGGAGACCATCGACCTCCCGTTGCAGGAAGGCTTCACGGAACGTTTTTCGGCTTTCAGATAATAGAAAGCCATGAGTTACGGTAGCGGGGTCGTCGATGGAGAAGTATGGAGATCAATTATGGCCACGACAGGGAATAATGACACAGGTTAAGACATGGAGTATGGGTAGGTCCCATGCCGTGGCAGGAGGCCTCATTATTCGTATATGTCCTTTACTTGGAAGGGGAAGACATTTTATCTCTTGTATAAGACACGCAAGGGGAGTAGGGAGAAGTGAAGCCCTCTTTGGAGTTCGAGGGTCCCCGCACATGCAACCATTTCAAGGTGTACATATGCCCCATCTGCGTGCCCTCTGTTGTTGCCGGTAGATCTAACCAGTCCGTATCCAAACACACGAACACCCTACCCGGTTTGCACGCGAACGGCAAACCTAACGTGGGGCATGGATACTCCTCATCTACCAAAGGGACTCAAAACAACAACAGGCTCGAGGGAAAACCCGGCCAATCGGATCAAAAACCCTCGTCTAACACCGTAAATATAGGAAACCATCGCTATCACTAAGGATTCCAACGGCCGCAATTCCAAGACAAGACCAAGGCAGGCCAGATTGAACCGGTCACGCTGATTACACACCCGAAGCAACGCTCTCGGCGTTTCTAGGCTCCAGCCGCGGGTGACGCGCCGGCACAACGCTTCCTGCATGACGTACCATGATCATATATGCCAAGTGCTAAAACCACCACATAAACCAAACAGAACAAGAGAACACTTCATCGGTAGGTTCATCCGAGCCTTCCGGTGGTACTCTAACTGCTCTCTGCCAAGGACCTTGGTCAGCATGTCGGCGTGCTGCTCTCCAGTCGGAACATACTCTGCAGTGATCTTGCCCGACTTGAATAGCTCGCGAATGAAATGGAACCGCACGTCGATGTGCTTGCTCCTCGCTGAGCTGAACGGGTTCTCGATTAAGGCGAGAGCCCCCTTGTTGTCCTCAAGGACCTTGATCTTCGCCCCACTCGTCTCGGGCGCTATGAACGACAGAACGCCACGCACAAACAACGCCTCCTTCACGCCCTCCCCGGCTGCCATATACTCTGCTTCCGAGGTCGACTGAGCCGTCACTGGCTGAGTCTTGGTGGATGCACACACTACGGTACCACCTACGGTCACGGCTAGCCCGGCTGTAGAACGCCTGTCTACTTCGGCAAACACGCTTAGGTCTAGTCCTGACCCCCGTACGAAGGTGATGCCGAAGTCCTTCGTGAAGTTCAGGTAGGACATGATCCGCACAAGCGCGTTCCATTTCCTCCAGGTGGGTGAGTGGGCGATCTTATGGAGCTTGTTCAGAGGCAGGGCGATGTCTGGCCTTGTCAGCTTCGTCCACATCAGGCATCCGATCGCCTCCCTAACAGGCTTATCCACCGCGGGCTTGTCATCTCTCGTCGGCCCCAGGTCGGCATCGGTGGCAGCAGGGGTGAAAGCGGTCGTGGTCACATCAAACCGCTTCAGCATACTCTCAATGTATGCTGTCTGGGACAGCTTGGTGATGCCATTTTCTACATCCATGGCGATAGCACACCCGTCGTACCAGGTACACTCCCCCAGATCTTTCACCGGAAACTTCTTGTTGAGGGAAGCGAACAACTCCTCTCGCTCTCCCTCGTCTGCCGCCACTAAGATGTCATCAACGTAGATCACGATGAGACCTACGACCTCTCCATCCACCACCTTCCGGAAGACACACGGGTCAACCCTGCACTGCTCGTATTCACTCTCGATGAGGGCATCGGCAGCTTCAAACCCCCACTCACGGCCACTCTGCTTTAGGCCATACAGGGCACGCTCAACCTTGACCACCTTGCCGGATATGCTACCACAGCCTTCCGGGAACCTGAGGTATATTTCGTCTTTTGCTTAGCGTGGATGTACGCTTGCTTCACATCCCAGTGAGCGACTTTCTTGCCCTTTTCAGTGGCTACGGCAATCACCGTCTTGATAGACGCTGCAGACGGGCA